GTTTCTGATCCTCCTGTCTCCACTCCCCAAATGCTGGGATTACAGGTCTGTGCTACCAAAGTCAGCTTCCTTCTGCCCTTCCTTAAGAACAGGAGTCATTTTTAGACTACAAGCCCTGATTGGGATTTTAGTTGGAAATAGGCTGAAATTTCAAATTTGACGAAAATCTTCATGGTCATTGAGATTCCCTGCCTTTAGCAATGGAGTGTGACCTAGACTCTGGAGTCAGACCTGGGGACAATCCCTACTGTGTGATTGGGAGGACACGGAAATCCACACGTGACTCTGAGCCCCAGTTTCTAGCACTGCAAAGCTAATAGTGCCTACTTCCCTGTGACCCTGAGCGTCTTAAGGCAACAGATGCCTTCACAGAGTGCTTGGCACAGGCAGGCAGGAACCTGCTGCTGGAATCATTCTCTCCTACCCCGCTGCTGCTTCCACCACACTTACTAAAGTGTGCTTCTTCCTTGCTTTATCGAAGAGGCTCCTGTCCCTGGTCAAAGTCATAGACCTGGGGTGCTGCTGACACACAGCATCTCCCCTCATACTGACCTAGGAACTCACGACCCAGAATGCCTTCCTTTCTCAAACTGTGAGGCATCAGATGGCTGATCTTGTTAGAGAAGGGCCAAGCCCCAAGGTCGGAACACCTGAGCCCTCAGCCTGCTGAAAGCCCAAACTATTAACTCGCCGCAGATGGGAAGGATAGACGGAAAGACAGATGAGCAGACAGACGAGACGGAGCAGGCAGGCAGACAAAGATAGCGCTCTGGAAGGGATGCGTGGGAGAGGCCAGAGGGGCAGAGGTTTTCTGTCTTGAAAACTCCCTGGTGCCTCTACCCCATACCCTGTAGACAGCAGAAGAGGTTAGTTAGGGAGACGCTGAGCTTCCCTTAGCGACCGGAGAGGTATTACCTGGATTTTTGAGCATTTTCTTCCTCCCTCAGCCAGTCAGAAAAGAAGCCACACGTGGAGGATAGAAAGGGTGTTGGGTACTTACTGGGCAGGTTGAAGGCTCTGTCCCTACTTAGGAGCAGCAGCAGCAGCAGCAGCAGCCAGTGGCTGCCCATGCCTGTGCTGATGGATAGTTTTGGGGGTGTTAGGATGGAGCTCTGGCCCGAACACAGGGACAGACTGCAAGACAGCATGGTACCGTTGTCACCAGTACCACCTCTCTGCCTGCTGAGCACTCTACCCACTCTGTTGTCCACACTCCTGTGGGCCTCAGGGGGCTTTTTAGAGTCAGAGCCAATACTGATGCGGAGTCAGGGGCAGGGGTGAGGCAGTGTTTCCCATCAGCTGCAATCAGTGGACCTCTGGGGACTGCAGTTCCAACTAGTGAGTATCCCCAGGGCCCCTAGTTGTCAGCCTTTCCTGAACAGTAGGGCAGAACTCTGGGCCACACAGCTTCCCGGTCACCAACAGCAGAGTATCTGAGTGTCAGGGACATTGGTCTTCCACCTTCTGGGTTTCCATTGACACTTGAGAATCCAGATCTTCTGCCTGTGCTGATCCAGATTTTTCTGCGGTGATTTGAATGAGAACGGCTCCTATAGGTTCATCTATTAAGATTGGGAAAGATTAGGAGGTGTGGCCTTGTTGGGGGAGGTGTGTTGCTGGGGGTGGCTTTGAGATTTTGAAAGTGTAGTCTGGCAGTGAATGGTAGCGCACGCCTTTATTCCAGCACTAGGGAGGCAGAGGCAGGTGGATCTCTGAGTTCAAGGCCAGCGTGGTCTACAGAATGGGCTCTAGGTCAGCCAGGGCTATACAGAGAAACCCTGTCTCAGAAAAAAAACAAAACAAACAATCAAGAAAGAGATTTCAAAAGCCTCCCCCACCCCCAGTAACTCTCTCTGCCTCATGCTTGCAGATCTTGATGTAGCTCTCGGCTACTGCTCCAGCCACAGGCCGGAAGTTCTTCCACCAGACTTCACTTGACCACAAAATCTTCCCACGTCCTCCCAGCAAGTCTCAGTGCTGCTGTTCTCCAGAAGACCTTTGGGGACTCCCGCTTTAACCAGCCACCCTTTGGTGTCAAAGGGTAGAGTCACCTGTACAGCTAGGTCAGTGGTGACCCTATCAGATAAGGACTCCTCAGGGTGAGGAGCAGCCGTCACCTTCAGACAGGGATAGAGGAGAAGGGAGGGACTCTTTTATCTTACAGGGCTCCCAACCTGAGATCCAGAAACAGCACCCCAAATTTAGGATTCTGAGGTCAGGGATTCTATCTCTACCATTAAAGTCAAACTGATCAGGGGGTAAATTTTACTCTGTCACTGTATCGGAATCCCCTAAGGGGTTCATCAGACCAACCCCGAGACGAGATCTCATTTCGAAGCCCAGGCTGGCCTCTGGCTCTTAGGAAGCAAGATCTATCTCCCCTAGCAGACCAAAGGCAAGAGTGTGAAACAGGTTGAGAACAACCAATCAGACACATTGATTATAACATGAAATTTTATTTTTGGTGCACACAGCCTTACTGACCTGGCTCTTTTCAGTGCTGGGGTCCACCCAGGACTCATCCCGGAGCTGGAGCAGAGGTCAAGGATAGTCACCGGTAGGTCAAAGCCTGGCTACCCCTTTCTGTGCTCATCCTTGCTGTGGGGCTTCCATTCTCATCCAGAATCCTTCATCCTGACTCCTCTGGACCTCAAGCTCACAGACATAAGCCATGCAGATGCTGCCACCATCCCAGTCCCTGGCCCCTGCCACCCAGGTGTAAGGGAGAGGAATGGGTTCCAGGCGGGGATGCAGGACGATGCAGCAGCTGGTCCCGTGTGAGCACAGGCCCCTTGGCGCCCATTCTGCTTCCTCAGAGGCTGAACTTGTGTTTGCTAAGTATGTTTGTGCTAGAATCGTGAACCTGCAAACCAAGGGGTCCTTTCGTCACTCTGCTTACCTTGAGAGGACAGACTACCTCTTCCTCTTCCTCCTCCTGTCTCAACAGCTGCCCCATCTGAGTAATTCCAGCATGGGTAGAACCCACTCAGAACTGGGGAGCTCAGGCATTCCCAAGACTCCATTCCACTCCAGTCCCATGAGATAAGAGGCACACACACACACACACACACACACACACACACACACACACACACACAAACACTGCTTATATGCACCCTAGTTGGATTGACAGGGGACCTTTTTCCAATGTGGGACTGTTTCCAAGGGAGAGCCGAGCTGGCAAAAGCCACTCTAAGAAAAGATAAGTCTGTAGGTGCTGGGGGGCGGGGGGGGGGGGGGATGGCTCCTAGGGTGGAGATTGATGGGAGGAGGCTTGGCCTCCCTGAGAAGAAAATGACTAGACTTGACCGAACGGGGTGGTGCCCTCTGAAATGAGTGGGGATTTTAGAGGGTCGACAGGAAAGGAAGGACATCTTGGCCGTAGTACCTTGGGGACTATAGTGTGTTTGTGGGGGGCGGGGGGGGGGCGGTAGGGAAGGGAATGCGCACCTTTTCCCTGCTGACCAGTGCAGAGATCAAGTCTTGCTGGGTAGCCACCTCACGCATATCTAAGGAGGACCCGCTCTCCAAGGACAGGGCTTTGGAGGCATGCCTGTGTAACAGCTCCTTTTCCTGCTCCTGGTTGTAAAGGATGGAGCGCACCTCCTCCACGATCCTGGGGTAGAAGAGACGTTGTATTCCTTGGCCAAGCCCTTCCATCTCTCCCCTGGTGTGCACCCTCCCCTTCTCCCCTTTCCTTCTTCCCTCACTGCTTCTGAAGCATCCCTAAGGGAGACCCAGGTCACACAGGGCCCTCCTGGGAGAAAGGCACACCCCGAAGGTCAGGACACCAGCTCCTGAGCTGGGAAGCATGAACTATGGGCGAGTTCCTTAGAAAATGGGCTCAATGAGGCCAGGGCCTGCTCTGCCTCCCCAGTACCCTCCCCTACGTGTTGAGCTCCTCTCGGATCTCTTTGTACTCCGCCAGGTTCTCCTGTATTGCCTCAAGCACCAGGCAGAAATTATCGCAGGTCTTTTCTGTGAGGTTGCACAGGGGACCCCCAACCAGCGGTTCCTGGGGGAGGCCAGAAGTCTCCTTGCGGGCCTCCATACAGTGCACCAGTGGCAGGTCATCAGCCCAGTCCTCTTCATCTTTGCCTGTCTGGGGACAGTCGATGGAGAGGGATAGACAGCTCAGGGTCATGTGACTTTAGAGAGGATGCCTCTCTTAGGACATGCCCCTTTTAACCGTATTTGGTATTATAACATTTTATGTTATTTTATCTGTGCATCCTAGGGATGGAACCGAGGGCCTCCAGCCACCTAGGCAAGCACTCTAACACCGGTCCTCAGCTCCAGTCAATTTTAGCCTCCCTACCTTGCTGTGATAACTCCATCAAGCGCATACCATAAGGCCCTCTCAGATCCCTTTAGAAATTCTCACCCCAGCAAGCCTTTAAAGCCCCTACCTACTCTGAAGTGATGATGGTCTTGGCCTTCTGACCTTTTCAAAGGTCCACTTTCTCCTTTATCTTTTGCAAGTTCTACCAAGTAAATACTGGGTAGCCAACATTTAAGTTCTTTTTTCTTTTCTTTCTTTTTTTTTTTTTCCTTCGTTTTATTTTGTTTTGCTTCTCAGGACAGGATTTCTCTGTAGCCTGGCTTGAACTCACTCTATAGACCAAGCTGACCTCAAACTAAAAGATCCATCTGCCTCTGCAGGGATCAAAGGCATGTACCACCACACTCAGCCAAGATTTATTTTTATTTTATGTTTATGAATGTGTTGTCTGCATGTGTGTAAATAAGTGCACCATGTAAGTAAGGGCACCATGTACATGCGATACCTGTGGAGACCAGAAGGTGGCTATGGATCCCCTGGAACTGGAGTTACAGACAGTTGTGAGTGGCCATGTGGATGCTGGGAACCAAACCCAAGTCCTCTGCAAGAGCGGTAAGTACTCTTAACCACTGAGCCAGCCCTCCAGTTCATTTATTGAGCTCTTACTTAAAAGCACTCTTCAGACCCTATATGATTCTCATGAAAGTCTTGGCAAGCAGGTACTGTTATCATTCCCATCATAGAGAAGAACTTCAGGATGCCTTGGGTAAATGCCCTAATGACACCCCATTGCTCAGCTTTGAATTATTATGGCACATCTAGGGATCCATACCCAGCCCCCGGGAGCTTCAGTCACTGAGTGGACATTACAGATACGAAGGTCTTGCCTCCAGGTTTTGGAGTTGGCTTTTTATGTGTGTGTGTGCAACACACACACACACACACACACACACACACACACACACACACACACACACACACACACACAAAGTCACTCATGCCCACGCTCTCCTCCCTGCGGTCCTCCCCCATCCCACGCACCTCACTAAACGTTATCTGACGCTGCTGTCCCTGCTCTCCAATCTTCATCATCTGTTCCAGATTTGTGGTCACGACGACGACAAACAAGTTGAGGCCGATGAACGCTCCGATGGTGATGAAGATAGCGAAGTAGATGGCACCTCCGACTTCCATCGCGATCTCCCTGTCCTCCATCCTGTGGACGGCAGTCGGGAGCGCCATCATTTCCCTGGCCCTTTAAGCCTCGGTTTCCTCTTCTTTCAAACAAGGCAATTCTATTTCCCACTCCTGCTGGTGGCAGAAGCAGCTCTTTACTGAGACCTGCTGCATGACCCGACAGCAGGGCCAACTCTAAAACCAGTCCTCCAAGGAGATCTGAAGTCAGCACTGTCAAGTGCAAGCCATACTTACATACACCGTAAGTAGAAGCGCTCTACGCCGCACTGCATTCTAGAAGAATGCTACCGAGTTTTCTAGACTGATCCCCATGGCACTCTATGAGGCAGTCAATATTGCACTGTAGTCTCTAATTATGAATTAGTAAACTGAAGATCAGAATCCCAGCACTCAGGAAGGAGAGGTAGAAGATCAGGAGTTCAAAGCTAGCCTGGGCTACCTGAGTTCCGGTCTCAAAAACAAAACAAAACAAAGCAAAACAAAAAACAAGACTGGGAGGGAAGCTAGGTTGGCAGTGTTGGCCTAGTGTGCACGAAGCCCCAGCACAGCATAAACGGGCGTGGTGTGCCTGACTGTGATCTTAGCGTTGGGGAAGTGGGAAGAGCAGGAGATCAAGGCTAGCCTGGGCCACACCAGACTCCACTTCAAAATAAAACAGACAAAACAAGCCCCTCCAACTTTTAAAAGCTAGAGGTTGGAGCTATAGCTCAGTAGTAGAAGGCTTGCTGAGCATGCTTAAGGCCCAGAACTACAAGAGACATACGTAAACAAATAAATAAACTAGTCTCCATGGCCCACATCTGTAATCTCAGCACTTAGGAGACTAAGGCAGGAAGATCACTTCAAGTCTGAGGCCAGCAGTGGAATAGTTTGTCTAATGTCACAGAGCCCGTGCAGAGGAAAGTACTCAAAAGGCCGGCGCAACTTCACTGTGTAGTCCATGTAGCCCAGGCTGGCCTCAAACAGAGATCCACCTGCCTCTGCCTCCCCAGTGCTGGGATTAAAGGCGTGCACTACCAAGCAATGGTGCTCTGGGTTCTAACACCCCAGCTTTTGTTACTGCTTTTCATTTGGTTTGCTTTGGTGGTATTTTTAGGGTTTTTTGTTTGTTTGTTGTTTTTGTTTTTTGCGACCAGGTCTTACCATGTAACTCTGTTTGGCCTGAAATTGACTATATAGACCAGTTTGACCGAGTACTCACAGAGATTCTCCTGCCTCTGCCTCCTGAAAGCCGGAGTTAAAGGTGTGCGCTACGATGCCAGTTTTTTTTTCCTTTTTTCTTTTTTTTTTTTTTAAGACTGGTTCTCAAGTTAGCCCAGGCTGGCCTCCGACTGTGTAGTGTAGGTGAATGGCACATATCTTGGTTTTTGTAGTTCTGGGGATTGAACCCAGGCTAGGCAAACACTCTACCTACTAAGCTCCATCCCCAGGTGCCTTCCTTTACACCCCACCCCCCTTTTCTCTTCTTTGAAACAGGGTCTTATTACAGCCCAAGTTGGCTATAATTAACTTGGACTCCTGATTCTCCTGCCTCTGCTTCCTGAATGCTGAGGTGTCTACTACCTGGGACTGCAGAACCCCTTTGCCTGCTTGGCTTCTACTTCACAAAGGGGAGTGGGATGGAATGAAGTTGGACTTGAACCTCCAAGAAGCAAAGACTAGAACACAAAAATGCCCTTGGGGAGCAGGTCTGAGAATGAGTGCTTTGAAACCCAGACTTTCCAGGACTCTAGGAGGTTTGTGGTGCTGCTCTACTGCAAGCTGGAGACCTCCTCAGAACCTCAGGCACAACCTCAGACCTGTTCCCTGGCCCAAGGTCGAGCCACACAGCTCTGTAGCATAGCAGAAGTCTCCACGAACAGGGTCAGGCGGCCCTGTGAATGTGTGAAGCTTCTGTGGGAACAGGGTTCAAGTACCACAGGGCCAAAGGCCCTGCCCCATGATTTCCTTGTGTATTCACTTCCTGTGAGGCCAGTTTCATCGAAGTCCCAGGAGCCCCTCTCAGTTTCCCTCACCTCCAGGAACTCCAGCCCTGCCCTAGCCAGAAGGAGATGAAGCCCAAGACTCATCTGTCCTCACTGGAAGTCACTGTAGATGTCCAGCCATCCATCCTGGGTGATGCAGATGAAGAGGGTGTACAGGGCAACCCCCATGTTCTGGAAATGCTTGGGCACGAATGCACCAAAGAGTGTGACCCCAAACACAGAGAAGACCTGTCAAAGAGACCAAAACCCACCTCACTTCACCCAGTGGCCTTGGAGCTTGACAAGACCTGCAAATTAATGCAAGTAAATGCTGCCAGGGATCCCCACAAGGATTCAGAGCCAAGCCCCTTGCTTCCCTAGGCATCCATCTCCACCCTACAGGTTCTATTCAGGGAAGGAGATAGGCTTGGGGCCTGGGAGACACTGACCAGCATGAAGAAGAGGATGAGGGCCACAACGTTGGCCAAGTCTGGCACCGACTGCAGGATGACCCTGATGATCTTGGCTAGGGGCTCCACCGCCATGCACACATGTACCAGCCGAAGTGCCCTGTGGCAGAGCCTCTCAGAGGTGCCCTTTGACCCTTCCAAGAACTTTTCCTTCTTGTTGCCTCCCTCCCACCAACCTCCCCAAGGGGAAGAGCTGAGCCCCAGAGGGTACCGACTTCCCTTTTCACTCCTGGGATCCGAACAGATACCCCCCTTACCTTCGGAGCTCCCCACTCACCTGAGAGGGTAGGTGATGGCAACTATGTCAAGTTGTTTTATGAAGAACCCCATGAACAAGAGAAAGACAATTGCGAAGTTGAGGATGTTCCAGCCGTCCTGAATGGGGGAACAGCCCAAAAAGGTCTATCAAGCCCAGCCCATGGGAGCATCCCGTCTGCCCTAACACAATGGAAGACTCAATGTTCCTCTAAGAACAAAGCTAGCCAGCTGCCATCTCCTGGTTGTCACCCCTGATGTACCACAAACACATACAATCACAGTCCTATGCCTATGAAAACAACCATTCTCAGAGACTCACAGAGAAGACACACACACACACACACACACACACACACACACACACACACACACACACAGACTAGCTCCTTAGCCAATGATGATCTGTATAGTTAGGTGACTTCAAAACTCCTGGATGCTCCTGCCTTAATGTGAAGTGTGACATACACTATAATTAATAAAATTAAAGTAGCTAGGCCTGGTGGTACATGTCTTTAATTGCAGCACTCTGGAGGCAGAAGCAATTAGATCTCTGTGAGTTTGAGGCTAGCCTGGTCTACAGAGGGAGTTGATACCCTGTCTTAAAAATAATAAATATATAAATACAAAAGAAGTTGAAAACAATGAACGTGCCCAGCAATAAGAGACTGATAGAATAAGCTACTGTACATTCATCATGTACTAATATAGAAAGATTACCAGGATCCCATACGTACCAACTAATCGCAAAGCATTGTTTGTGGTAGGCTACCGTCAGGAAAGGGAGCACTAAAAATACATGCCTATTTGCCTAGGATTTAAAGCAACAGCTGAGAGGATAAACAGGCTCTAAGAAGATTACCTAAGAGGCGAACGGAGGCAAGACAGGGTGAGGGACTGGATCGGATCCAGGACTGCGTGGCTTTCTATAGAGTTTTGGTCAACGTGTGACTGAAGTAAATGTTCAAAAAGAAATCCATATTTTAATGGAAGATGCTCTTAAATTTGGGAGGCAATCCAACAGACTCAAGACTTCCTCACATCTTAGAGTCTGGGCCACAACACCGCACACACGGAGACACAAGTCTGCCTCTCTCTGTGGAATCAAGGCCTGTAATCCCAGCCACTTAGGAGACAAGGGTGCAGGTTGGGGGTGTCACAAGTTCAAGGCTTGTCTGGGCTACAGTGTAAGGGCCATCCTGGAAAACTTAGTGGGGCCTTGTCTCAAAGTAAGAAGAGGGCCAGGGAGTGGGTGAGTAAGTAAGCCTAGTGTGGTGGTCTGAATGAGAATTGCCTCATAGGCTAATCTATTTGAATGCTTGGTCACCAGGGAGTGGAACTGTTGGGAAGGACTAGGAGGTGTGGTCTTCTTGGAGTAAACATGGCCTTGTTAGAGGAGGTGTGCTGCCAGTGTCTCTCTCTCTCTCTCTTCCTGCTCCCTGTGGATTCTTGTGGATCAGGATGTAAAGCTCTCAGCTACTGCTCTGGCACTATGCCTTTCTGCCTGCCACCATGATGATCATGGACTAACCCTCTGAAACTGTAAGCAAGCCCCCAGTAAATGGTTTCTTTATATGAGTTGCCTTGGTCATGGTTTATCCTCAGGGCAGTAGGACAGTGACTGAGGTACCTGGTAAGTTTGAGACCCTTGGTTCACTAGGAGTTAAAACAAAAAGCCTAGCCAAGCTGGGCTACACATCCACCAAGTATTAAGCTCCTGCTGTATGCCATATCTTGACCTGTTTTCTGAGGATACAAGGTTTTGCCATGCTGGGCTCATAGACTCTTTTGAGGGAGGTGGACAGAGAACACTCTTTAACTCTGCCAGAGAGAGTTTCTAGAACCCAAGAAGGAGAGGCAGAGTAGCAGAAGCCTAGCCTGGGAGAGACCTCCCAAAAAGAAGACATCCCAAGGAGCCAGTTCATGATTTTAAAGTGAGGGGAGAGGGAAAATCAGAAGGGAAACATGAAAATTACACAAAACTCAAATTGCATTGTCCACACGTGAGGCATTTTCTTTGTCTTCTGGGGATGGTGTCCTACTATCTAGCCCAGGGAGGTCTTGAACTCCTGACCCTTCTCCCTCAGCCTCCAGATGGCTGGGATTATAAGTGTGCATTACTGTGCTTGGTGCAAGTGGAGTCTTACTGGACTAGAGCCGATCTTAGTCCAGTTCAGTGAGAGGCTGAGCCAGGGATATCGCTAGAGCTCAGGAGTGTGGGGTCTGGGCGACATAGTAAGACCCTCAAACAAACACCTCATCGACACACCTGGGGGCAAAGCTATGCTGGAACACAGCCACTCCCGTCCATCTGTGTTCTGGCTGTGCTGTGTGCGGCCTCACAGAGGTGAGTTGTTGCAACAGGGACTAGAGCCTATAAAGCTTAGAATACAAATCACTGAGCTGGGCAGGGGTGGTGCACACCTTTGATCCAGCACTCGGGAGGCAGAGGCAGGCGGATCTCGCAGATCTCTGTGAGTTCAAGGCCAGCCTGGTCTACAAAACTAATTTCCAGGACAGGCAGGACTACACAGAGAAACCCTGTCTCAAAAAACCAAACCAAACAAACAAGTCCCCCGCCCATAAAACAAAACAAATTATTGCATTTTAGAAAAAGTTCGTGGAGTCCTGATCCAGAATCATGTAAATTAAGACAGATACTCTCAATTCCTTGATTCCATCTCCAAGATACAGAAACCTGGGTTTGCATAAATAGAGAGAGCTTGGGAGGCAAGAGCAGTGGTTCAGACACATGGACGGGGCACTTCCTGAACTACATATATTCTGCCCTATTACAGACATACCTGAAACCTCCCTCATCCCCTCACACTGATACACTCTCTCTCCATATAAACCCTTTATTTTGCTAGGCAAAGACTTGATGTGCTGCAGCCACGGGGTGGGGGTGGGGGGTGAGGGGACAGTAATGACAGGAATTCCCGGGACCTTACCTTCCAGAAAACGCAGAAGCCATTGATCCAGCCGAGGAGAACCTCACACATAAGAATCGTCAGCACAATGTCGTCTACGATCGAGAAGAACTCATAGTGTTTCTATGTGGAAGACAGAGAAAAAGAGGGTGAGCAGGGTCTGCGCCAAGCTGGAGAGAGGGGGTGTGGGTGAGGGTACCCCGGCTACTCTTCCTCCTTAGCATCTCTATGGTTTCCTTTAGGGGACACTTTTTGCACATATGCCAAGCAGTGCTAAGACCCTTCACATATGGTGTCAAGCGACTGTCAACACTATTTTGAAAGGTAGTTTTCTGTTCTGTCACATCTCACAGATGGGGAATTAGGAACCTGGGTGCATATGACTGGCCTTCACCCCAGCCTCTAGAGTAGGCTATTTGGGAAAGGGAGGTGAGGAAGAGCTAGACAAACTCCGGTACTGAAAACAACAACAACAACAACAACAACAAAAATAATAATAAAAAACAAAAACCAGGCATGCCCTCCGCCAGGAGCAGCAGGACCCCAGACCTAGGGAACTTCTCAGCTACTCTGGTCCCAACTACCCCTGTGGCTGCAGCATCCAAGTTGTCTGGGCCAGGTTGGAGGTGCCCTCCCTCTGTAGATCCAGGACATGTACCTTGGGTGCATCAATAGGTGGATGGATAATTAGGGTCTGTCCAAAACCAAATCCACTTCTGCCCAACCTCCACCTTGTACTCTTAGCGTCCTTATAGCCGTGACCCACTCCCCATAACCGGCAGTCCATGGAGTCCACCCCAGCACACCAGTCACCTTGCCTCTTTCTGCACTCCAGCAGCCAGCAGAGTCCCTGTCCCTCATGGGGGCCTCCTGCTACCCACACTCCCTTCTGCCCACCCACGGCCTTCTCGAGTCTGATCTTCATAGTCACAAACTCCACACTAGGGTTCCAGGCTTGGCTTTATTTTTCCTGTTCTACTATATTTTTTGAGACAATCTCATGTAGCCCAGGTTGGCCTCAACTATGTAGCCAAAGATGTCCTTGAATTTCTGATTTACTAACTGAACTACATTCTTAACCCTTATTCCAGCATTTTCAACCGAGACCCATAATAAGAGCTGGGTTTTTTTTGTTGTTTGGTTTTTTGTTTGTTTTTTGTTTTTCGAGACAGGGTTTCTCTGTGTAGCTTTGTGCCTTTCCTGGATCTCGCTCTGTAGACCAGGCTGGCCTCGAACTCACAGAGATCCACCTGCCTCTGTCTCCCAAGTGCTGGGATTAAAGGTGTGTGCCACCACCGCCCAGCTAAGAACTGTTTTTAACACTTTACAAGGTGGTTCTCAGGGACTGGCAAGATGGCTCAGTGGAGAAAGATGCTTGCCTTCAAGTCTGACAGCCTTAGATGGATCCCACAGCGGAAGGAGAGAGCTGACTCCTGCAAGTTGCGCTTTGACCTCCATATTCTTGCGATGGTACATGCACACATGCACGCGCGTGCACACGCGCGCGCGCGCACACACACACACACACACACACACACACACACACACACACACACACACACACGAAAGAGAAAAAACTGTAATGCTGCCCCCTCTGTGCCCTCCCCGCTCCTCTCCTTTTATCTCCCAGCTCTATTTTCGCTATCAGAACGCTGGACAATGAACTCATAACCCAACAATGGCTTGTGCATGAACCTCCACTGTCCTCGCTGTGCAAGCTACGTAGGTGAGTTGCTGCCATCCACCTGCTCTTGGGGAGGCCAGGCGCACTAACTCTGGGGACTGTCTAGTCTTTATTAGGCCTACTTCTCACCATGGCTTGTAGCAGGAATCTTAAAAGGTTCTTATAAAATCAAACCTGAGGCCAGTTATTGGGGTGAAATACTGGAAGGTCAGAGAGACAGAACAAGCCACAGCTAACCTCACCTGGCCAACTTCTCAGCTGGTCTTGTTTCCTCAGACTGGAAGCTTCTTTGCTCTCATCCCAATGGCTCTTAGCTGAACTGCTGCTAGAAGCCTGAAAGCTTAACCAGCCAAATGCTTGTAGTTTCTGGTCCTCACGCCTTATATACCTTTCTGCTTTCTACCATCACTCCCTGGGATTAAAGGCTGCTTTCTGGGATTAAAGGCGTGTGTCCCCATGTCTGGCCGTTTCCAATGTGGCCTTGAACTCACAGAGATCCAGAGGGATTTCTACCTCTGGAGTGCTAGGATTCAAAGTGTGTGTGCCACCATTTTCTAGCCTTTGTATCTAGTGGCTGTTCTGTCTCTGACCCCAGATAAGTTTATTAGGGTGCACAATATTTTGGGGAACACACCACCACCACAGTGGCTGGCCCCTACTGCCTGCTTCTTTGACTGTCCTTTCTTGACTGTCACTCTCCTGAGCTCCCAATTTGCCACCGATCATGCCTTCTCAGTCACCTTGCCAGCTCCCCCTCCATTCCCACCCGTTATTGGAAACACGTCTTGGCTCTCTCCTGCCTTCACTCACACTCTGCATGGCATTTCCATTCAGCCTTAACCCCTGTCCCTTAGACACTGGCAGCTTTGAAGTCTCCATCTCCGGTCCTGTGCACCTGCAGTCTTTCGATCATTTGGGTTTTCAAGACAGGGTTTCTCTGTGTAGCCCTGGCTGTCCTAGAACTCAGTCTGTAGACCAGGCTGGTCTCGAACTCACAGATCCACTGCCTCTGCCTCCCGAGTGCTGGGATTAAAGACATGTGCCCCCATCACCTGGCTAGCACCTGCAGTCTGTTAGATCTATTGACTCTTCTTGAGCTCTCAAAAAATATGGACACTTCATAGCCCCTCAAATGTCCTGTACTGACCTCTGCACTCTTCTCTAAACATTTTTCTCCTGCGTCTCCATGTCCCAAGCATAGCACCAGCCCCGACACTGTTGCTCATGCCACAAACTCAACCTCCTGCAGTCTCTTTGTCTACACGCATAAAATGAGGATATGTAGTAACAGAAGGTGGCACATAGCAAAGGCTCACTAAATATGAACTAGCAATGTAAATCATCAGAAAAGTCCATGGGGTTGGGGACATAGGCTAGTGGTATAATGCTAGCCCAGCATGTGCAAGGCCCTAGGCTCAATCCAAGTACCATGGGGAGGAAGCAGAAGAACCCAGGGATGTGACTCAGTGGCTCTTCTCACATACTTCCGTTGTCCTGGTCGAGATCACATGCCTTTCACCTGGACATCTTTCACTCATTTTGACCCATCTCCTCTCAGTCTTGGCCCTCTTCATTGCCTTGTCCACACTGTGCCTTTTTATAGGATTCTTTTCTGGGGGCTGGAGAGATGGCTCAGCAGTCAAGAGCCCTGGTTGCTCTTCCAGAGGACCTGGGTTCAATTCCAGCACCCACATGGCTGCTCACAACTGTCTGGAACTCCAGTTCCAGGGGATCTGACACCTTCACACAGACATGAATGCAGGCAAAACACCAATTCACAGTTTAAAAAAATCTTTTCTTTTCTTTTAAAAATATGTATGTTGTGTGTGTTAGTTTGTCTGTATGTGTAGCACACACATGTAGATGCCCTTGGAGGCCAAAAGAGAGCGTCAGATCCCTGGAATTTATGTTAAGCTGCCTAATGTAGGTTCTGGAAACCAAACTCCTGTCTTCTGCAAGAGTAGCAAATGCTCTTAACCACTGAGCCATCTCTCCAGCCCCCAGCCAGTGCATTTTCTAAAACGCACATGGTCATTTCACTTCAATGCTGTTTTAAATCCTTTCCTGCCTTTTCAATGGTGTAGGATACAAACTAGCTCCCTTGACATAAAGATCATATGTGATCTGGCCACTGACCACCTTTCTGAACTCATCCATCACCACCTGCATGGACATGCGTGCGCGCGCGCACACACACACACACACACACACACACACACACACACACACACACCTCATAAGAAATCAAACTGCACTTAGGTCTTAAGTCTTAGGAGGAAGCTTCAGGCTTTCAAATTTGTCCTCAGCTATATGTACAGTGAGTTGTAAGACATCTGGGTCTATATGAAGCCCTGTCTAGAAAAACAAACAAATGAAAAAGCAAATTAAACCTCATCAGGCATGGTGGCATATACCTGTAATCCTAGCACTCAGAACCTTGAGGCAGGAGGGTTGTAAGTTTGAGACCAAGCTGGGCCTCATAGTGAGATCCCTGTCTCAAACTAACTAACTAGATAACAAACAAACAAATAATAAATAAAACCTAAAACAAAACAAGAAATCTATCAAGTGTGGTGCACATCCGCAATCTACGTACTTACAGGGTTAGAGCTGGACTGCCATGAGTTGGGGGGCAGCCAGGGCTACATGGCAAGTTTGAGGCAAACCTGGGCTCTCGAGTTGGACACACACATGAAGAATTCTCTCACTGTTTCTTCTTTTCTCCTCCTCCTCTTTTTCTTCGCCCCCCTCCCTCTCCCCCTCTGCCTCTCTCTCCCTCTCCCTTTCTGTCTTTCCCTCTTCCTCCCTCCCTTCCTTTCTTTCTTACACAGGTATCATAAAGTCTACTCTGGCTTCAGATTTACTATGTAACCTAAGCTGGCCTTGTACTAAAGACACTCCCCCGCCCCCCCACCCACCCATTTCGGATCCCTGAATGCTGGGAGCCTCTGTGTAAACCACCTCAGCAAGCTCCAATGTTCTGTTCCTTTTTCTTTCCTTTTCTTCCTTTTTAAAAACCTCTGTATGTATGATGTGTGTGGGTGTGCAAGTGCGTGCCTGTGTGCTTGTGTGTATGTGTATGCAGACCTGCCTCAGTGTGTGTATGGAGATCAGAGAACAACCTTAAGAGTATTGGTCTAGCTGGGTGGTGGTGGTGGCGGTGGTGGCGCATGCCTTTAATCCCAACACTTGAGAGGCAGAGGCAGGATCTCTGTGAGTTTGAGGACAGCCTGGTCTACAGAATGAGTTCCAGGATAGCCAGCGCTACACAGAGAAACCCTGTCTCGAAAAAAAAACAAAGGGGGAAATTAAAAGAGTATTGGTTTTCTCCGTCCACCTTGAGGCAGGGTCTCTCTTGCTGTTTGCTACCATGGTGAGTACTCCAGGCTAGCTAGCCTGAGAGCTTCGGGGGGATTCTGCTGTCCCTGCTTCCCATGTCCACACAGGAGGACTAGAATCACAGACCTACACCAAACCATGGCAGCCAGCTTTTATTCGGGTTCTGGAGATCCATACTTGGGTCTCCAAGCCCAGGTCCTTTGGAAGAGCAACAAGCACTCTTAACCACTGAGGCATCTCTCCAGCCCAAGAAGTCTTTCTTGACATGCAGATCCTATGCAAGGTCGATGGAAACAGACTTTTTTTTTATTTACTTATTTGAACATAATCTCACTATCTAGCCTGCCTAGCCTGGAACTTGCTACACAGACAAGGCTGGCCTCTAATTCAAGAGATCCAGCTGCCTCTGCCTCTTCCTCCCTAGCATTGGGATTAAAGGTTTGCTATACCAGGCCCATTTGGTGACCAGACTTTTGAAGAACATCCAATCCAAACATCATACACAGACAAGGAGCCAAGGACCTGAGAAGGAAGCACCTTGTCCCAGGTCAGAGCGAGTAGAGGGAGAGATCAGGCCAGCATCCCACCTGACCAAGGTAAGAGTTGGTACGAATAGCAATGGTGATGGCGTTGGTCACCAGCAGCAAGGCCAGCAGCAGCTGGAAGGCAGGATGTCGGAGCAAGTGCTTGACACACAGTGTAGTGATGTACTCCTGCACGTCCCAGGCATCCTGGAAGGGGATGGAGACCTTCCTTTGACAGGTGTCACCAGGGGTGGCCTCTACCTGGACTCTTTACTCCCTCTTCCCTGTGAATTGCAGGGGGAGGGGAGGCGGGGGGGGGGGGGGGGGGGCGGGGCGGGGGACTGCCCTAGAGGGTGATGCTGTTGCCTGAGTTCATGAAATGCTGGTTTCCATGAAGAAGTCACAACAAATGATCATCAAGAGAGGGTCACTACTGGGGACCTTTGGGGGCCTTGGGGCTCTGCTGGTGAGTGGCTATCACAATATAGGGGTTCCTATGAGAAGCCGCCTCCACGGGCATTAGCTCCTAGAGAAGGTCCTCAGGGAGGACCTTTAAAGGGTAGAGAGCTGCAGAAGGGAACTCCGGGGTGGAGGTCACCTCAGTCTCCACTCTGCCTGTCCCTACCTTCCTCCTTTCCTACCTTCTTATCCATGACGTCCCTCCGGTTGATGAGCACCTGCTCCTCATGCCGGCCCATGCCTTCATAGGTGTTTTTCTACAGGGGATAGGAGCAGGCCTTCAGTGTGACCACGGCCCCTGCCCAACCCAGGATGCCAGCTTAGTGACAGCGCCAGGCAGGGGCTCCCTACCGTAGTGCCCGAGGGTTTCACACTGCCGGTTTCTGGCCGATGCATCCCCCATTTTTGGTTTTCGGACATCTTTGCTCTGATCCCTTCTCCTCAAAGCTTTGCTGCAGGCCGTCTCCCTTCCCCTTGTGGTGAGATCACAGAGGCAGCTGTTACCACACCCTTCTGTGTTCCACCAAGACATTCCAACCTGATTTAAAAAAAAAAAAAAGCGAGGGAACCAGGTACTCCGCCACCGGCTTCAGGATGGGGTCAGAGGTTAGAGGCTGGTGGGAATAGGTCCAGACTCCCACGGCATCTGAATATAGTAAACCGAGGTCCCCTTTCTGGATCCAGGTGCTAGAGGTGAGGCTGAGTGAAGGGGAAGAGATGCCCGGGATCCCTTGCCTTCAGCTACCTGTCCCACAGCTGCCCAGCCGGCCCTTCCAGAAAGGTAAGTTTTCTTATCTACTAAGTGAGTGTCCCTCCCTGGGGCTAGGATAGGGGAGCAGGTCTGACCTCCCAGGACTAAGGCAAAAGGATGCATGACCACAGAGCCCAGCACCCTGGTACAGGAGCCTTGAGTGTATACCTCAGGGTAATGAGCTACACAGGGAGCTTGTCACCCACCCTGTGACAGACGGCACTCACTCTAGCCGGACAGCTCTTCACCTCTGTGTGTGTTGTGGGGAGGGGATGTCTGTAAGGGCGGTGCGGATTCCCACTTCTAAAGCAAAGACACATGGGTTCATTTTGGAGAAATCAACTTTATTTGGTGGAAAAGCATCTCTCATGTAAAATAAACAGTCATCCAGATCTACTCTGAGAAACCTTTTTGAAGGACCCAGGGAGGCAGGCAGGTGTGTCCAGATCTGAGGATGGGTTAGGGGATTTCTACATCACAAGGAGGGGGGCTACTCTCCTTCCACTCTGGGGGACACATGAGCAGAAACTGTGGAAGCCCTGGATAGTGGGATCAGTTTGGGGGTAAAGTCAAGGACTAGCACTAATTCCAGCCTAACACAGACCCTTGGGCATGTTGTCTTAGACATGACAGAGGCTGGGGATGAAGTCGTCCTCGGGATCAGAGGTCAGGAGCCAGGCACTAGCCAGGGTCAGAGGTCAGGAGGTTGGAGGCTGTTCTCTGGGGTCAAGGGAAAAAGCTGGGAGGGTTCCTCAGGGTCAGAGGGCAGGGGCTGTGGGGACTGACCCCTGGAGTCAGAGGTTGGGGCTGGGGAGCTGTTCTGGGCCCGCATCCCTCCATGGGTGCTCAGGACCTCCGAGTACAGCTCCTGGTTCTGTTCTTTCCACCGACGGAACTTTGCTCCGGTGAGCTCAGGGTCACCCAGCACTTCTTCCAGGGCCTGCAGTTCCTGCAGCTTTGCCTGAGGCGAGAGCAGGGGGCAAAGCTCTCTGGTGATCCAGGGAGGGATAGAACCCAGAATTAACTTTAAGTCCTGTGCCCACACCAGGGTACCCTGGCCCAAGAGCCTGGGTGAGTAGCTGATCTCTGCACACAGAACCTTCTAGAACTTGGCTCAGGCACAGTTGAGCCTTGAATCGAGTATGGAGGCCAAAACTGGGCTCCAGAATCAGAGAGCCAGGGCTTAGAGCCTTCAGTCTACAGTCTGGAGCTCACAGTAGAGCTGAGAACCAGTCACCAGGGCCTGAGGCCCACAGCCTCATCCAGTCTTGCCCATGCCCGTCGCTCCCAGCTCACCTTGAGTGTGCTCTGCAGTGCCCGCACACGGTGCACTCGCTCGTTGAGATGAGGGTCACGGTTGCGCCGCATGAAAGAGCTCCGCCACTGCTCGTGGGTCAGGGGCTGTGGCTGCCCCAGGAGGGACACACCCCCCTGCCTCAGCTCCTGCACCATGCCTTCCAGCACCCTGTCGCTGTCTGTGAGAGCAGGATGCAGGATGAGAACACGTGAACATAATCGGGTCATCTCCGCAGCCCAGGAACCCGCTCCCAGGATAGCACCTGCTGAAGAGCCGAAGGAAGTCCTTGGACTCTGCAAGGGTGAAGCCATGGGGGGGGTGTCACTCCAGGCTGGAGCCGGGCCAGGCTGTGTCAAAGCAGAAGGAGAGAGAGGATTAGCCTGAGCCCCCCACATCCCTGCTAGGCAGCCCCTACCTCCTAATTTGAAGTGACTGTACTCACTGAAGCTGAGCGGGACCCAGCCTCCTCATCAGGGTCTTCCGCTTCTGTCTCACTGTAGCAGTCTAGGGTGAGGAGTTGGAGAACCATGGAGTGGCTTTGGAGAGGCCAGGGGATTGGAGTTCTAGCACCCAGCCTGGGAAAGACAGGAGCTCAGTGATGTCCAGACCCCTTCTCTGACTTGGTGATACACTCACCTTCCTTTCTGGCAGAGGGCACCTGACCCGGAGTTTGGTACTTGGAAATACAGGTAATGAGATGACGTACCCACCTGTAGAGGAGCACATGGGTTGTGGGGTTTCCATTCACTGCAGCCCATTTATATCTGAGCTTTTCACCCTTGACCTACATCTTTTAATTTATTCCCCCTGAACGTTTTTGTATGTACTGGAGCCTGAGTGTAAGGAAGTGCTCTACACTGAGCCATATCCTCTGTTCTCTTTCCTGTTTTCTTGAGACAGCATCTATACGGCTCTAGTTGGCCTGAAACTCACTACGTAGCCCAGGCTGGCCTCATACTTGCAATCGTCCTGCCTTAGCTTCCTAAGTGTTAGAATTAGAGGGGTGAACCACCATGTCCCAGACCCATAGATCTGATCCTCAAAGAGTAACTTAGGTAGGAATTCTCCTTTACCCATTCTGCAGATGATGAAACTGAGGCTTTCTGAGGGCTGGGTTTAAGTCCGGTCTCCTGAGCCCAGCTCTTTTTTTTATTTTGTGTACATTGGTGTTTTGCCTGCATGTATGTCTGTGTGAGGGTATCTGATCTTAGAGTTACAGACAGTTGTGAGCAGCCATGTGGGTGCTGGGAATTGAACTGGGGTCCTTTGCAAGAACAGCCAATGCTCTTAACCACTGAGCCATCTCTCCAGCCCCTGAGCCCAGCTCTTAAGCATGTGGAGGCTGGGGACTCCATGGGAGTAGGGAAGAGGAAGCGGTACTCACATGCTCAGATCAGTCAGGGTCTCAGCAGCAAAGACAAAGGGCTTGTACATGTCATGAGTCAGCTGGAACACACTGCCAGCGAGCAGAAAGAAGTCGCAGTCTCCTCTGGGCATGCCCATCCAGAACCCAGAGAGAGGCTGGATCAGGAATCCCAGCCACCTGCCCCATGTCCACCCCATCCCCCACCCTTCCTCTCCCTTTTTTCCCCCCATCCCATCCCATTCCAAGACTTAACTATTTTTTCTTCTGGTCATGTCCACTCTCCAGGCTGTAGTTGGAGATGTTGATGAGCCCTTCAGCCTTTTCATCCTGGGGGATCACAGTGCAAGGGTCAGCATGGGACCTCCAGGTCGGCACGGAGCCCTAGGTCAGACAGCCTAGGTAACTCTCTCTGGGTTTCTGGAGCTCAGGGCAGAAGGTGTGGCCAAGAGGCACCTCTGAGCAGGAAAAAGAGAGCAAAGGCATCCAGAACAGGCAAAGGGAGGAGCTTGCTCAGACAGGCCCTCTCCCAGGAACTGCTTCCTGTCCCAAAGCATTTTTCCCTTCCTGGTTTCCCTTTTCCCTTTTTCCCTGACAAACATCCAAACACCTTTCCAAAGAAGCTTCTAGACTCCTTGGACTAGATCAGACACCTCTGCTGGGCTCCCACACATCGCCTGGGAGTTCCTTCATCCTAGCACACTGTCCTGAAGGATGTGTTCAGCCCTTTCCCTCATGGGCCTCTAAGTTACAAGAGGGGCAGGGTAATCTTCCCTGTTCCCCCAGGGCTCTAGAGCTCAGGGCTGGGTCCAGTAGGCACCTGGGTATCTACTGAGTGAATAAGGGACTGAGTGGCCATCCCCAGTAACAGATTATCAGAAGAGAAGAGAGAGAGGGAGAGTAAAAATGATTGCCCTACACTTAAAAAATGTTTACATTTATATATTTAGTGTGTGTGTGTGTGTGTGTGTGTGTGTGTGTGTGTGTGTGTGTGTGCATGCCCACCCCCACACGCCACAAGACACATGGAGATCAGAGGCCAACTTGCCAGACCATGTGGGTTATGGGTATTACACTCAGGCCATCAGGCTTGGTGACAAGCACCTTTACCTACTAAGCCATCTCACTGGCTCTTTTTTTCTGAGACAGGAGTCTCACTGTGTTATTTGGGCTGGCCTGAAACTTGCTATGTAGCCTAGACTGATGCATGTCTGTGCACCACATGTGTGCCGGGCACCCACAGAAGTCAAAAGAGGGCATTAGATCCCCTAGAACTGGAGTTACAGACGGTTGGGAGCTACCATGTGGGTGCTGGAAACTAACACCAGTCCTCTGCAAGACTAGCCAGTGCTTTAACCATTGACCCATCTTTCCAGTCCCCCTATAACCTTTTTTTTACACATGTATGAATTCATTTCTCTACCAAGAGCCACTCACACTTTACAAATGGGAATCCTGGGGCCTAGGAAAGTATGGGGTTCTCCTGTGTAAAACAGAGATAAGAATGGTGGCCTTAGGTTACCTTGTGTTACCTCTGCAAGTGTTTATGGGGTCTCACCTGGGGTTGGCAGTACCAGTATAGGGTATGTCCCTTGAGCACAAACCAGCAGCGCCGCCAGCGTGGACCCATAAAGCCGCCGGGTACCTTGCGTAGTAGAAGCCATCCATCACAGTCCGGCAGGCCCAGCTCCCGGCAGGACACCCGCCGGCGACTCAGCCTTGTGGCCACACCTGCCTCAACACAGCAGACCATGTTGACGTGCGGCCAGCGAGCATCCTTCCCGGAGTCTATCTGCCCCCAGGGGAATCCCCAGTACAACTGTCTGAACTCATACTCTGGGCTCACAATATCACAAATGCCCTCAGGTGGAGTGACTTTAAAGAAGCTGGGCATATAGCTTAGTGGTAGAGTGCACAGCTCTGACACACACACACACACACACACACCAGGAGATAAAACTGATGATCAGTGGGTACTTTCTCAC